CATGCCCCTCCCCCCTCCCGCTGCCCCGCTGCCACCTCCCCCCGCCCATGTCCTCCCGACCGCTTACCTTGCTGACACATGGCTTGCATTGGCCACAACCCACACCAGACAACACGAGGGACAAATGAAGGTTGGAGTGACAGACGACAAAAACAGTAATGGCACCAATGACTGGAGCAACAGGTGTCGTGTCACTGCCGCATGCCGTGCAGTTGGAACTATGAAGACCGACACATCCAAGTGAGCAGGGCCCTCAGACCACGAATGCAGCCCAGCGAAGGGATACTGCGATCGACCAGTCTACGATGTAACGGTTCAAGGGTTTAAGGGTGCCTGGGGTCGTGCCTCAAACGTTTAGAAACCAACGGCGCACTGCTAATTGCACCCACGAGCTGCACAGCACCACATGCTGAGACTCTGGGGCTCAGGAAACGGGAGGCGGACTATGTTCTTCACAGCAGCTGGACATAGGCCCTGTCTGCTGGCCGCACTCTTCAAGGCGCAGGACTACATCACACACCAAGTGCCGCATCGCATTGTATCGCATTCCACCTCATTGCCGATCCTCAGGCTTCAAGGATCACGAATGTGTTATGCATGGGGTTTGAGAGGGTATAGGGTTTTAAGGGCTTAAAGGGTTTAAAGGGACAGACATAGCAATAACGAACAGGGGGGCTGCTGAATAGGGCTGGGCTCGTAGAAAAGCGGCGCTCCAAGAAGGGATGGGTGATACTGGCAGCTCCGTGGGACAATGGAGCCCCAGGCTGAGACAGAAACGACCAGAGTCCTAGGAAACAACAAACATCAATCTCAGTGTTATAAGATGTATCGATGGGATGCTGGACCCGGTTTCCAGCAGGTGCTGCTCCCCACCAATAGATGGAGCAGCCTGATAGATAAGCCCTCAATTCGGACGGTTCTTTTATCACCGCCGGGATCGAGGGCTTATGCAAGGGTTATTTTCGGAAAAAAAGAAAAAACAGTTCAGAGCGGTAGCGTACTGTACTAGGTGACTATCAAACTTCATTTCTCATTCGACAGGGTCGTAGCTTGAAACGCTGTCCGTGCTGGTTAGTAGAAAGCGCTTGAAAAAGAGAGGTCGATCTTCTGGAGAAGTCCGCAGCGCACTGTCAAAACCCATGAGTGGCGATTTCGGCCGCATCACAGCGGACAGGTTCAACCAATCCAATTGCCATCAGCATGGGAAAAACAAAACAAAAAAAAAACTCGACTTAATCTTTGTCATCACTGTCTAAAAGGAATCCCAGTGATTTGTCTATATTCAACACAGACCCATCACATCGCAAGCTTTTTTAACTTTAGATCGCTAACTACTGATTCACATGAATTAATTACCAAAAAAAAAAAACAAAAAAAAAACACCGCGAATAAATAAAGCGGCCGCATGTGCCAAACAGCAACAATCCAAAACTTTTTTAGTTTGTCGGCATCCATGCAAGCCGCCCTAATCCAGGAAGAAACAATCCATTCTTCTTAGGCCAGTGGCTCTGCCACTGAGCCACTGACAGAGCCACTGGCCTAAGAAGAATGTATTGTTTCTTCCCGGACTATGGCTGATTCCCAGTCGTGTTGCTCCCCACGAATTGGAGTATCGTCCAATTTTTTTTTTTTTTTAAAGGGAAAAAAAAAACAAAAAAAAGGCCAGTGGCTCTCTGCCAGCTCTTGGATGGTTCAACCTTGGCACAACTTTTGCCATAGCTCCTGCCCTAGCCATCCCTGCTGATTCCAAATATTCAACGCCATGACAATTGAATAATACTTTGAAAAAAATAAAAAATAAAAAGGTGAATCAGGGGTTACTCGTACAAGGTCATTAAAAAAAAAAAAAAAAAAAAAAAAAAAGAGTGATATAAGTAATATTTTTCAGCTATACCTCAGGAAGAGTTCAGTCTACCCACGGTAATTAGTAACTAGTAACTAGTAATTAGTAAATTAGTAATTAGTAATTAGTAATTACACTCTTGCTCCTTCGTTCAAAGTTCAAACGCTCCGTCAAAATTGTTACTCCCTCCGACAACCCCTGTGGAGTGTGGCTGTGTTACCAAGGAGCTGCAGATTGGGCCGGTGACAACGTGCAGAGGCGGCATGGGGCTGTGGCAGCATTTGAAACCGTGCTCAGCGATAAAAAATACCTAAACAGCACACCACTTCCATTTTATCACAAGCCGGTCGTAACAGCAAAACTGTGTGACATGCGATGAAAAAGCGAATTCGTGACATGCGACGAAAAAGCGAAAAACTCGTGACATGCGACGAAAAAGCGAACTCGTGACATGTGACAAAAAACGAACTCGTGACATGCGACGAAAAAGCGAACTCGTGACACGCGATGAAAAAAAAAAGCGAACTCGTGACATGCGACGAAAAAGCAAAGTCTGGGCGTTTCCACCTTCCAACTTGTGGTCTGCTCCAACCAGAACTGGAAACAGTCCTCGAGAAATTCCCACAGATTTGTCGTCGAGGCAGGTACCGTGGTATCGGCGGTTTGAACCACTGAATCACTTGCTTGCTATTTCCTTCGAAGATAGCCACGATGGCTGAGCTCATGCGCTTTCAGATGGTACCGAGGAAAGCACATTGGATTTTCCACCGAACAAAGTATGTTTCTGAACTCCAGCAAGTCTGCCTCCACAGAAATAGGAGGCCGATAGTACCAAACACGCCGGTGGTTTAAGATACTGTAAGGCTTTCAGCACGACGTTAACCGCTCTCCGAGGTGACATCGCCGATACAGAGGGGATGCTTCATCTCTTCGTCCGTTCCTTCCATGGCCACTCAGGCAACCATACCTGAGCGTTTGCATCCCTTCTCCCTGCATACAGGATGACGGCCGCCTGACGTCACTGACACAGAGAGCATGCTTCGTCTCTTTCTTTCGCTCCTTCCATGGCCACTCAGGCAGCCATACACGAGCATCTGCAGCCCTTCTCCATTGCATAATACAGGATGACCGCCGCCTTTGCCGAGAGAATCGAGTTCTTAGCCAACACCCAAACTTGGCCTTGAATGCTTTAATCTGGGGCTTGTTTGGTATGTGTGCCTTCCATGTGGCTACACTTGCTGGCCTCTTTCTCTCTCTTCCAGCTTTCTCCAAATGCCTGGGGGCTTTTACCCTTGTCTGATCCATAGGCCTGGGGGCTTTACCCTTGTTTGATCCATAGGCCTGGGGGCTTTACCCTTGTTTGATCCATAGGCCTGGGGGCTTTACCCTTGTTTGATCCA